TATAAAAAGAGATGTAATGGGTTAAATCTGTCAGATTTAAAGCTGAAAGCTGAAAGAGCCAAGGAGGCTGTTTCATTGTGGTTCCAGTCTTAGTGCCAAGCTATGGTAACCGGCCGCTGGCTGTAGACCTTTGTCAATGAAATATGAGAGTTGTACTGGTTTCCTCATTCAACTCTTAGCCAGAAAGCAAAAACGTGGATTTTACAAAATGTCAAAATCTAACCCAACAGTTCAGCCTCACCTCTTTGGGGGACAAAATGAAAAAAATAAAGATGAAGTCAAAAAAATCTCAAAACCCACCAGTGATGATAAAGCCATTGGAGGCAACGGCCGGTACTTTGGCCTGATCTTGTGTAGCCAGTGGATGTCCGGGCCAAGACTTCCTCTTCCATGTGCTGGTCAGTTCAGCTAATCTCTATGAACAGATAAATACAGATAAATTAAGAAAAAAACTACTATAAAGCTAACTCGTGAGAGAGATTGTATTATGGCCAATGCTTTTCATCTCTCCACACGGACTGTTAACCTGCCGTTCAAACATGATTGGTCAATACTACACAGACTGCAAAGGGACTACAAACAAGAAACCAGAACACTTCCGATATCAAACCTTGTCCCGTCGGCTACAGATTCTGCTTATATATATCTTTCTTTTCTTCTTCTTGCTTTTCAAAGCAGAGTTAAAAAGTGCTTTACATGTCAATAATTAAAACAGACAAGACATGAGAACAACAACTTTTAAGATAATGGATAAAAACACTAGTGTATAAAAACTGAGGACATAAAAGACAGGTTAAATGAACTTAAAACTCAAGTAAAATCAGGAAAGGCGCTCTAATAAAAGTATTTTTTAAGAAGGAACTTAAAAGAGATCACTGACTCAGTCAATCTGATTTCCTTGGGCAGACTGTTCCAGAGCCTTGGCCCCTTTAGTTTTCAGACAGGCCCCTGGAACAGACAAAAGACCTCCGCCCGAGGACCTCAAAGTACGTCCTGGCGTGTACAGCACTAAGAGGTCTGAGATATTACTGGGAGAGAGACCTTAGAGAGCCTTAAATGTAATCAATAACACCTTAAAATCTATTCTAAAACATACTGGGAGCCAGTGTAAGGAGGCCAAAACTGGAGTGATGTGATCATGTCTCTCAGTTCTAAGTTGGAAGCCTGGCAGCTGAATTCTGTACAGTCTGGAGTCGATTAATAAACAGATTCTTCCCACAAAACTTATTCTTAAACATGTGATCATCTATGAAGTGGGATTATTTAATGATAAGGATGCATGTGATATCTCACAGACCCTTAAATTACTTCAAAATCCCACTTCTACTTTGGACCCATTGACTGATTGAGACTGATTTTGCTGTGGTGCAGACTACTGTTCCCATGGTACAGCTTAAAAGTGGTGTTGGGCTTTGATGTCATTTCTGTCTCCCCCTGATGTCTAATACCAAGACTTAAGCTTTCACAGAGGCCCTTTGTGAGCAGAGTGGTATTCCTGAGGCTGCTAATAGTTGAACCTCGTCAGTGGGTCTGTCCTCATGCCAGTGTTTTTTCAGTCAGCCCGAACAGAGTTATACTAACCTGCCAACATGTCCAGTCCAGCTGTGAAAATACCACCTTGGATTTATTGTGTTATTAAGGATAACAACCAGTAAGTGACACAAGCTCTATCCACGGAGAGACTGAGAGAGAGAGATGTCTAAACAATATTCTCAGTCTGAATGGATGGATGCTTCCAAAGCAAACCACTCCTATTTAATGGACACTAATCAAACGAATGGCTTATCGATCGCATTGGTGGCTTTCAAACATGATGTACGTTTTCTCTCTCTAAGTGCTCCAAGTTAGACAAGCATAGCAGATGCAGACATGTCAGTCTGACCTTCTCCATGACAGGCTCCAGGGGAGAGTGGTACATGGTCAACGTGACATTTTAAAGCATTTCATATGTTCGGTAAAGACTGCCTGGAACACAGTTTTGTTTGTAACAGCTGTAGACGTCTCCCTTTTTTCTCATTTTCAGATCCAGTAACATTCAGGCAATTGAAGCAGACTGACTGTCATGATGATATCACGGCATTCAGCCTGTGCTATCAACTTCTTGACAGTTGCTCTAATGGGAATAGTGATGCATTTCAAGGCAGGGTTTGAAGACAAACAGACACTTAATGAGATGGGTAGTCATGCTGATTTCCATCCATGACATGACACAATTCATTACACTCAGATGAATTCATAATAAACCAGTGTGACTGTTGCTGCTGCCTCTGTCACTCTGTGCACATTAAATACGAGCTATTTGAAGGCGCAGTTTTCATGTGGAAACATCTCTTCTCTTCAGGAGGGTGAATCATGAGAGCTAGTGGGTTTATGGCAAATAGTAATTCTGCAACCAGTTCAGAACTACCTGACAGTGACATCCGCTACAAGAGCAGTTCGTCCTTTAAATGGTCTGTATTTACTTTGCAGCTGGGCTCAATATCCTGTGGAGCTCTGCGCTCTGACTCCCAGCAGCCCACTCGCCCTCCCCCAATACGTTCATCAGAGAAATGTGGGCTGCGGTAGAAGTTAGCGACTCTGCTGTGGGCACACTCATTGAGTTGTGGTTAACATGCTGCCATGGCAACTCCTATTCACTCACCATGAGACAAAAATGTTTTTATCTCCCTGTACTACACAAACAGTCAGGGTGAAGCGTCTGACTGCAAAAGTGTTGGCCCAGCAGCAGTATATCTGCTTTAATTTCCTTTTGTTAGGGCAACCAGCACAAACACAGATGAGCTTTCAGGGTTCTCGTCTCATGGAAGGGGAAAGCAAGAAGAAAATATTTTTTGGTTTGTTTTCTTCAAGAAAAACAGAGATGTTTTATTGAGATAAGCTCTGCTGCTCCCATTTTATTTTTCCATTACCTAAGAAAAAACAATTTTAATTTGAAAAAACATTGAGTGTGATAGATTATGATCAGCAGTGATGTGGTAGTTCACTTTTACACAGTGATCTGTAGCCTATAGTTCAGCTTTAGCTTCTAACTATCTTTGTCTTTTTGACCTGTTGTTGCTGCTGAGTCAGTTTGACATCCTGGATATATCCTTCAAACAGACTGTAGAACCCTCTGTCTGCTTCTCTCTGGAATCACTGTTTCATTTTTCCAAAAATATGATTATATTTCTTCAGGGAGTGCAGTTAGTTACGGTGTTTTCAACTCCTTTTCCAGCAAAGGAGCCCCCAAACCCCTGTTTCATATGTGTCCCCACCCAAGTTGAAACTAATCCTGTGCCCTTGGGACAGGTTTTATGGAAACTTTTGTCTGATCATTTCTACTACGTTGTCTTGTTCCTATTAGATAGTCTGTGCTTGGGTAATGATGATGCCATCTGAACATTTCTTTAAAGCCACAACAAGCCTAATTTTCTGCAGGACTCCATAAACCAGCATTTGGAGATGGGTTTGTTTGATGTACAGAAGTCTGTAAGATTAACTTTTGGTCTAGCTCCTTTTTGGTCTCCACCATCTCCTCGGTTCACTAGCTGCTTGCTAACTTTGTCAGTTACTACTTCTTAATGCAGGGTAGTGTACTAAGGGTTGATCAGGGTCGATAAGGGTTGATTTTTTTTTCTCGTAAAACAGCTGCCTACTGCATTGAAAAGCATTGCTGATGAGAGAGAGTGAACAAAAACATTTTGGGCTGGAAAAGTAAAACACTGAGCTTAAAGGGGCTAAAATTCTCCATAGAGCTAGGGAACAGTGGAGTTGGTGATTTTCGCTTCTATGCACCTCAGTTTGCACATAAAAATCTTGATGGAAACACCAAAAAAGGTGGAAAGGTTGGTGTATTGATAATAAGTAAATGCAACTACTATTCTGTCATCTCATTGCACCCTCTTCTGCAGCAGCACCAGACTGGAGAATTAGCATCGCTTACCACTTATCTCAATGAACCAACTCCCAGTATTCGCAAACAGTAGTGGGTGGAAAAGGGCATACATTTTGTTTCGCCGATTTTCTGAAAAGCCTGTTAATATTTGTGTTAAATTTGGATAAACCGAACTTTTGTAGTTCATTACTATGAGTAACCTTCGTCACACACACAGTGGTTTTATCCATTGTTAATGTAAAGATATTGATCATAGCAGCTTTAGTACTTCCGTTACCGTGTGACATCAGCCATATGTGAGAGCTGTAAAACATAAACAGCCACTGACCTGGATGTCCTGTGACTCAACAACATCCTGTCAGACACATGTGGATCTGATTGGGAGCACACTGTGGTTTGTTTGCATGCGTCCACAGACAGCGCATTGTGGTGACTAGCTCCATTTCACAAGGCACAGGAACACATCGGATGAGGCAGATCCATCTGGGTCACTTCATTCCCTCGTTGTGAGTTGCCATTGATTTCCATTACGGCTTAGCTGACACCCATTACTCTGACCTGCTGGATGGCCATTAGTGCGCTTTAAGTGTAGTGATGAATTGTCAAATGAAACATTAAAGGCATTGTGGACTGTAAAAACCTCAGCCTCACATAGCAAACTGTTTCCGCTGGTGCTTACATTGCAGAGGTCTCGAAAGGAAGCATGGCGCATCAAGCGTGACTACAGACAAAAACCTATTTTGAACAGACTTGTCTGTCTGTGTCAGTTCCTTTGTCCTTTTAATATCTAAGTGATAAGTCAGTCTAGCGTTCTGATGAGAGATAAAGTGCCTTTTGGTTTAATTAGTTGCAAAATGCTGCTGTGATACACTGATGATCTGTCCAGGGTGTCTTGGGATAGTCTCGATGGATGAATAGATGACTCATATGAATGTTCATCTCATACTTCATTCCCCTGAGATCACTTCCTTTCCTGCAACTAAAACATGATCCCTTATATGGAAATGGGGGCTGATGTTTACACAGTTTTGCCTTTTAAAGTAAAGCAATTTGGAAAAAAACACTGTTTCCATGATATCAAATGACACTTGTCGCTGATCCAATTTGTCTGTTTTTTTCCCCACAGGTTGTTTTGAGTGCTGCATCAAGTGTTTAGGCGGGGTGCCGTATGCGTCGCTGGTGGCTACAATCCTCTGCTTCTCTGGCGTTGCCCTGTTCTGTGGATGTGGCCATGTGGCTCTCACTGGCACAGTGACCATCCTGGAAACCTACTTCTCCACGGTCACCGAGGATCACGCCATGCTGACTGAGGTGTAAGTGACCTTATACTGTTTGTATGCACTGCATGGGTGCTTGTAATGCCTGCCTGTGTTTAATACAAAACATTGAGTCTTTAAAGGGCAACTTTTTTTTAAACTTGGACCCGTTTCCCATGTTTTTCTGTCTAAGTGACTAATGGGTGCAGCTATTTTTGAATCTTGTCCAGTTTTGAGTGAGAGGGCTGCAGGTGTAGCTGCAATATAAACGCACTGATTGAACAGTCAATGTTTTGCCACTGACAGGTTCAAATTGTTATTGTAAGTGTTTGACAACATTATGGAAAGGATCCTTACAGAGATAGACCTTTTTGTTAAAGAGTAAGATTCTTTTTGTTTAACCTAAAACAGCCCCAAAATCGCAATTGCCAAACCCACCAGCCTCCATTTAAATAAACAGTAATTTAAGCAGGTATAGAGCCAGCATATTTTCACATCTAACTGGATGAATTAAGGCTTTATTTCAACAGAACCAGACCTGGTGATTGTTGGAACAGTGGAAAAATGAACCAAGGCAGTTTTTGTGAGTTTTATTTTGTTCTGCTGACTTTGAGTGAAGTGTGGTTTTATGATGATAAAATTACTGTTTATATAAATGGAGTCTGGTGAGGTTTGTAACAGTGATTTTAGGGCTGTTTCTGGTTAAACAAAAAGGATCTTACTCTTTAACAAAAAGGTCTATCACAGTAGGGATCCTATCTGTAATGTTGTCGGACACTAGAATAACAATCTGAGCCTGTCAGTGGCAAAAACAAACACTTTAAGTGGCCGGAAATTGAAGGTGCACACATGCCCAGAGTTGTTAGATTGAAGCTTGCTGGCTGCAGCGCTCTTGCTCGATACAGGATCAGTTTCAAAAACTGCTGTTCCCATTAGTCACTTAGACATAAACACATGGGAATATATGGTCCAGGTTGAGAAATACCAAAATTACCCTTTAATGTCACAGTAGGATCCATTACACAATATGCTCAGTGTAATATGTGCTCTCACATAACCATCACAATACGGAGAGGCCTAACAGTAAAATATATAGCACTTTTAATGAGGCTGACTTTATGAAGGCTATTTTTAGCTGATCACATCTCCCACGTTCACCTTATCCTGCAGAACAGACCTAATATGGGCTGTTTTTTGTTACAGTGCATCCATTAGTCAAGCCAATAAAAGGAGAATGACAAGAGACAGGACTGCACATATGTTTTATGTTGCTTTAGATTTGGAGTGCACTGTTTAATTTAAGACGTCTAACAGAGGCAGTCTGTCTCCTGGCAGATGATTTCCAGAGACATGCATCACCTGTTATCTCCACATTTGGACTTAGCGTCTCTCTTCATGTCTTAGGGAAGCTTGAGCTCAATCGTAACCATCTGTGAATGATTAATCATCCAGCACAGGTTACTCATGTTTTAAAGATCGCATGCAAAAAAATTATAATTGATCTTGAGCAGCTATTTTCCACCAGACAGTGGTGCGGCATGCTATTACTTTACCTCACGTGGTTAGTGAGTCTCTCCAGGTGCTACATTTGGAGGATGAAAGCATGTTAGTCCTGGATTTGTGCGTACTCTCTATCGCAGCCTTACAGGCACAACTGAGCTTATGTGTGACTTTACTCTTTAACAGAATACAGCTGATGCAGTATGTCATCTACGGCATTGCTTCGTTTTTCTTTCTGTACGGGATCATTCTGCTGGCTGAGGGCTTCTATACGACCAGCGCAGTCAAGGAGCTGCACAGCGAGTTCAAGACCACCATCTGTGGACGCTGCATCAGTGGAATGGTATGTTAATACAACCACACTGCTGTGTCCAGCCTGATTTTTAAACACAATGTGCTTAAAAAAAGATTCATGCCATGTGATTGAAATATAAAGTACACACAAAGATGATGATGATAATTTGTTATCATTTTCCAGCTGGTTTAGTTTCATGGTTATCTGATGGTGCTAACATTGTGCCATCTCTGTGTCATCAGTTTGTGTTCCTCACGTACATTCTTGGTGTGGCCTGGCTCGGCGTGTTTGGCTTCTCCGCTGTGCCAGTCTTCCTCTTCTACAACATGTGGTCTACCTGTGCCGCCATGAAGTCTCCCATGACCAATCTCACCAATGACTCCATCTGTGTGGATGTTCGTCAGTACGGTGAGAGAGCAGCGCATTATCCGAGAATATGTCTTGTTTTATGAGTGCATACACTCAGGTGGCTTAGAACCAATACAATACTCTAAATTAGGGGATCCTAAATTTTTTAGCTTGCAACCCCCAATGTCTGCTTGCGAGCCCTCACCTGATGCACATCAATCAATCTTTATTTGTATAGCACTTTGCACACAAATAGAACACAACACAACGTGCTTCACACAATAAAATCAGTTTTAAAAAATCCCTGTTTAAAAACTCAAAATAGTAAAAAACAATTTTAAATAAGTAAATAAATAAGTTAAAATGAACAAATATAAGTAACAAATAGAAGATTATGGCAGCTAGAAAAATAGATTAATAAAAATAAATAAATAATTACACAATAAATAAATTTTTTAAAAAGCCAGGCCAAAAAGGTAGGTGTTGAGTTTGCTTTTAAAACCATCAACAATCTGCGGCCCTTAGGTCTTCAGGCAGGTTGTCCCTCAGACGTGGACCGTAGTTATGAAATGATGCCTCACCATGAGTTTATATCTTGTGATTGTGACCAGTTCAATCAAAGAGTTACCTGCCCCCTCTTCTTTTTTATTTCAATCCTTTTTAAAGGATTTGAAGAGAAAAACAAAGTTAGGAGTAAAATCTTTAAAATAGTTTAACAAATCACACCTGTGCATTCCTTAAAAAGTACTTCAACATCCTTTTCTTTTTCTAAATATATGTTGGGGGCATTTTTAGCCTTTAATTGACAGGACAGACAAGTGTGAAGGGGGGAGAGAGAGGGAGTGACATGCAGCAAAGGGCCACAGGCTGGAGTTGAACCCGGGCAGCTGCAGCAACAGCCTTGTACATGGGGCACCTGCTCTACCACTAAGCCACCGACGCCCCAAAAGTACTTCAACATCTTGATTGCACTTTGATAAAGGTTTGCAGACTTTTAAGGGACAGATAGAAATTAAGAAATGCTTCAAATCAAAGCAGCAGGGGCCAACAAATCTTTACTTTTCGTCTCTATAGGTCAGGTTCTCAAACCAGGGGTCCTACACTTCTCATAAAATAATTCGACTGCATCTTTAATGAGATCCTCCCAGACTAATATGCCCAGGATTGTCCACACAGCCAGTTTGCAAATTTTTAATATAGGCTTGAAGTCTCAATCGCAATCTGAGATAATTACTCTCTCAGTCATGACAAAGCTCCTTCAGAACCACAAAAGACATTATACAGTAAAAATTTTTTTCAGTCTTAGCAGTACCCCTCATGATGAGTTCAATGATCTTCTTGTGTAAGATTGGTGGAGTAGCCCTTTAAATCTTAGTTTATTCAACATTTTAGCAACAAAAAGAATTATGTTATGATTTGTACGAAGCGGACATCAACTCAGGGTTGATTATGATTCACATGGTACAATGCATCTGAGTATAACATTTGAATTTCATGGCTACAGGAATTATCCCATGGAACGCCACACCAGGCAAGGCCTGTGGAAATACGCTAGGTCAAATCTGCAACACCAGTGAGGTAAGACGTTGTTTGCTATCCACACACATTCTACACATGCCACACACACATCAGCATAGGAGAGCAGAGGAGCATGGCATCACTTTTTAACCGAAGAATAATCACTGTTGTCTTCCTCCAGTTCTACCTGTCTTATCACCTGTACATCGTAGCGTGCGCCGGGGCAGGAGCCACCGTGATCGCTCTGGTAAGCTTCCCTCCGGTCTCTCCATCCTCTCCCTTTAGTCCATCTTTGCACGGTTTGTATCAGCAGATCATGTGTCAAATGCTCCTCTTCTCATTCCCATATGGTTTGTGTAACCACATCGAGGAAGATTACACATAGGCTTTTCCTCAGCTCCGATTCCATTTGCTGTTTACCATCTGCTTAGATGCACATGGCCCTGTTTTTTATTTTAGGATGGATGGAAGAGAGTGCAGTTTGGGCTTGCTTTTTATGCCATAAAAGAGTGTAATTCCTAAAAATCACAATCATGAATTTTAACCATAAAATTACAAGAGGGATATTGTAAAATTTAAGGGATTATTTAGAGCTTTTTGTGGGGTTGTGTGAGGTACTTACCTGTTGTCAATGTATTAGATGGCAGTTGGCACGCCCCCCAGTTTGGAGAAGCAGGCAGGAGTACCGCCACAGAAGTTAAGCAATGTACTGCTGTGGATGGGGGCAGTAGCGATTTCATACAAAGTCACCTAAAAATATCGTTATCAGTTTAAGTGTACGCTATATTTAGAACATTTTCACTGCTTTACTTTGTGTTAGATAGCCTTTTCTGATGGGGGACTGAAGCTGTTACATTCACCCATGCGCTCTTTAAAGCCACCAGACTCCTTCGACAAAAATAGTAATTTTACCTCACGGAACATGAGAGCTGCTGGTCTACCGCTGCCTCTATCGGGAAGTTTGTGTTACTGTGTGGCTGTGATGAATCCCAACTAAAACTTTTAAACACCAAGTCTTAACTAACTGTTAAAGTCAGTGGTAGACCAGCAGCTCCTGTATTCTGTGAGGAAAAATTACTGTTTTTGTTAAAGGAGCCTGGTGGCTTTGAGAGGAGCACAGATGATGGACTCATCTCCCCATTGGACTACTCTAGCCACCTAAAAGAATCAATGTCAGTGTAAGTTTATGCCATATTTAGAATATTTTCACCACTTAACTTTGCGTCAGACAGCCTTTTCTGATAGGGAACTGAAGGCTTTATCGATGCTCTTTTCAAAGCCACCAGACTCCCTTGACAAAAGCAGTCATTTTACTGCTGCTGGTCTACTGCTGCCTTGATCGATTAGTTAGTGACTTGGTGTTTAAAAGGGTTAGTTTGGATTCAACAAAGTCACACAATAAGACAAACCAACTAACCGATCGAGGCAGCAGTAGACCAGCAGCTCTCGTTCAAAATTACTGTTTTAGTTAAAGGAGCCTGGTGGCTTTGAAGAGAGCATAGATGGATGGACCAACTTAAGTTCCCCATCGGAAAGAACTTTCTCTTGGCAATGTAAAGTGGTGGAAATATTTTAAATACAGCATACACTTGAACTGATAATTATTTATTTAGATAGCTAAAAACGTGTTTGCCCCATTCACAACGGTACATTACTTAGCCTCTGTGCCGCCAATCCTGCCTGCTTCTCCAAACTGGGGGCGTGCCGACCAACACCTACTGTTGGTAATACACTGACTATGGATCAGTACCTCATACAGCCCCACTTTAAAAAATCTGAACTACCCCTTTAAATTATTTCTTAACCTTTTTAACATTTTACTGCTGGAAAATGATTGGTCACTTTACTAACTTGTCAGAGTACAAGTGACGAGGAGGTCACAGGCATGTTCTCTTACAACCTTTTCTGTTCTCTTCCACCAGCTGATCTACATGATGGCTACCACTTATAACTTTGCCGTTTTGAAGTTTAAGAGTCGAGAAGACTGCTGCACTAAGTTTTAAACTGTTTTAAGAGCACGGTGCAGCATTCGAGGCTGTGCCGAGTAGAGACAGTTGCCACTGACAACAAATGAACTAAAAAAAAAAAAAAAACATCCTGAGAATAGAAAAAAAGTCAACATCTCTCTATTAGTAATCACATGAAGTGTAAATAGCTGACTGTATGCTTCCTTTAGCATTTTGGTATCCAGGGATATTATTGGCTTGTCTGAGGACACCTGATGAAAGTTGTCTTCAGATTGGGGTGGTGTTTAGTTGGCTGGTTTGTTCTGCTTTCCTTGGCACTCACTTATAGAAATATGTCACCATCAGATTTTTTTTTTTTTTTTTAGAAATGTGCACAGCTAGAAATCCACAACAGTGTTATTTATATTCGTAATGCATGAAGCTGATTTTGGCCTGCACAGAAGCAGTATTTCAGATTTTTTAAAAACACAAACCGTACAGTATTAAGCTTGCAGAACCTCACCTTGCATAACAGGACAAGCATCAGTCGACTGCAGTCAGAGCTGAAATGCAAATTTGTGCACAAACTCCTGAGGCACTTGTGGAACATAAATGTAAGACAATTTTAAAAATGATTTTTTGTAAGTAAATGAGACCAATCAAGACATCCATTATGCTTGCATAGATGTACAGTATACAGCTCTGAAATAGTCCATAAGGACATCTGATGACAAATATTAAAGGTGTTCTCAGGCTTTTACATTTTTGATTGCCACATTAGCAGTTTTGGTGAGGATTAATTCTAGCGATACGTCTGTAAAAGGACTAGCTATACAGGCAAAGTGCCTTATATCGCCTTTTATTTCTTTCCTTAGCCTTAAAATTTTGGTGCCGACACATGAAACCATGAAGTGTTCCACAGAAATATTTCAGTATTATCTCTTTTTGTCACAAGTTAGATTCTAAACTAAACTAAAAACCTTTTTATCAACTGTATTTTGCTGATGAGTATTATGGCAACCAGTTGTGTTTATTGTAGATCTCAGAGTAACTGCACAGACCTAGCACAGCACACTATGAAGGGTTAGGCCAGTACCAAGGGTTTACTTCTGCATGGGGCCCTAAGCCTCACTTTAATTTCATGTATTTTATAAATAAAAAAAAGACATTCTCCAATTTTAGAGTAGAGTAAATGTATTTTTTTTTTCCTATGAGGGCTGACGCTGATATAGCCTCAGCTATGAAGTTGATGTTTTGTTTCCTACTTTTATTCTCTCTCAAAGTGCCATTAAAGAGCCATTTGTTTTTATCTTAACACTGAGCCTGCATGCTTACATTTTTCCAGATTCTTTGACCTGTTTATAGTTACTTATACTCCATATTTCATATATTTAATTTTCTCCTAAGTTTTTGAAGACTGTAGCTTTTACTTTCTATATAAAATAAACAATCTTTGTTTACAAAAGGATCCCTACTTGGTCTATTTCTTTGACAGCAGCGTGATAGCGAACTGCATACGGATCAGGGTCAGATTCACAAAAATCTCACGCTTTGCACTAACCTCAAGCTTTTACAGCCGCATAAAAACCCGCATGCACAACCTGTGGCTCTCTTTCTCTTCTCTACTCATTCTCACGCCTTTTAGAGTGTCATTTCTGTAGTACTGTGTGTAGCAAGATTGTAGCATAACTCCAGTATTAGTTATAATTGTAACAGTCATGTTACAATAAGTCTTTTTCAGTGATGTCTTTTGTCACCCCTTTGTTAAGTCTTTTTTTTTTAAAAAAAAAAAAAAAGCTTAACTTTATGTTTGTGTATGTCCGTGATATACATACTGTAGCTCTGACTCCTGTAGCTTGCTTTGCACCTTTGACATGCTCACCGGCCATCCACCTCACCCTTCTCTTCCAGATCCACTTCCTCATGATTCTCTCAGCAAACTGGGCCTACCTTAAGGATGCCAGTCAAATGCATGCCTACCAAGACATCAAAATGAAGGAAGAGCGGGAGCTGCAGGACATCACCTCACGCTCAAAGGAATGCCTCAATTCCTACACATAAGGATATTACACACTCACAATACACACACATATACACACACACACACACACGTAAACACACACAGACACTGTGGCCAGCCACTGTGGCCCCTTTGGACCAAGACAATGCTCAGCTAAAATAACCTGCCAACTGCCGTGACACTGTGCAGTACTAACCAGGCTCCTAACAAACTAATGCATCAGTGTTGCTTTCTGCACTAACTCACCAACAAGTGGTTTTGGAACTGCTATTTAAAATCTCATTTATGCTGTTTTTTTTTTTTTTTTTATAATTTTCTATTTTTCCAAAGGAGGAAAAAAAAGCAGTTCTGAACTTTGACATTCATGTAGTGTTTGATTTTCTCTCGCCCTTTTTTATAGCCAGTTCTTGTCGCTGGCGAAGCTTGAGACATTGCACTATTCTTACACAACGCATAACGATGACATGTTTGTTTTACGGTCTTGCTCTGTCTTTCTTTTGAGCTGTGGTGGCCAGTTTTCAACAAGTTAATTTTAACATTTTATTTGTTCGTTCTCTGCAGATTAATTATACACAACATGAAAGGCCTTACACTCAGAGTGTCACTTCTAGATAGCATGTCAGAAGAACAGTCAGATTATATTGTGTTGACACAAGACTGTGGCATGTCACGAAATGTTTTGCTATAACTTCACAGTAAGGAAAAGATGAAAAATATATAATGTGGACCCGGTTGTGTTGTAAAAGTGGTGGTATGTAACTGCATCTTAAAGGGACAGTTCACCCCCAAATCAAAACTACATATTTTTCCTTTTATGTGTAGAAAAATCTAGCAGTCGACATTGTTTTGGTGTGAGTTGCAGAATGTTGGAGATATCGGCCGTAGAGATTTCCGCCTTCTCTCAAATATAATGGAACTAGATGGCACTCAGCTTGCGGTGGTCAGTGGGCCAAAAAAACACATTTAAAAAACCCAGCAGCAATGTCTCTTTCCAGAAGTCACGACCTGGTTACTCAAGATAATCAACAGATCTTGTTGTGAGAAATGTAGGAACAATTTTCTTTCTATTGAACTACACCCGCCAACTGTATCACCATGCAGAAGGAAGTGTGCATCTACTCATGAACAGGAGGCTTGTGTTTGTGACAACATGGGGTGTAAACATTAGTAGTAACCTCCTCGGCTTCCCGTGTTGTGAGCATGTAGTTTCATGTTTCATGTAGGAACTTTTTTTTTTTTTTTTTACTAAACTTCACCCAACAACAGTATCACTGCGCAGAAGGAAGTGTGCATCTACTCATGGATGAGAGACTCATGCTTGTGACAGCGTGAGATGTAAACATTAATGGCTTTCTCCCCAGCTGAGCTGTAACATTAGCTAGCTCAGTGGTGCTAGGTGAGCTAGCAGTAGATGTGCCCTTCCTCCTGCGCAGTGATACAGTTGCTAGGTGTGGTCTGGTGGAAAGAAAATAGTTCCGACTTTAAACTGCTCACAACAAGGTCTGTGGATTATCTTGAGTAACCAGGTCATGATTTCTGGAAAGAGACATCGCTGTTGAGCTTTTCACATGTATTTTTTTTGGTGCTTTTGGCACCACAAGCCGAATGACATGTAGTTCCATTATGTTCGAGGGGAGGTGGACATCTGCAACACTTGCAACTCACGTCAAAACAATGTAGACTGATAAACAGCACTACAGGTAAGAATTTGGGGGTAAACTGTCCCTTCAATCTTAGTGATTATCTAAGGGTTAATAATTGGTTCTAGATTATAATTTTCATCATACAGCTACTTAAAGGTCACTCAGAACATTTATGGCCTACATTAACACTACCTCAGGTGTGCACTACAGCCTATGGAACATTTAACTGGAACAAACAACACTTCTCCCTTCATAAACGACGGTTTGGAAATCCCATTATAATCATAAAAAGATGCCTCAGACACTGACAGTATGTATTAGGGTAAACCAAGCACACACACTAAGAGCTCACACTATAATCAGATTTCAATTTTATGGATAATACCGTAAGAATAACTTGCTTGCTAAATGTGAACTGCTGCCAATAACTAGACAGACGGATATTCAATGTATTTAGTATCTTAAAAGTTTGGTCCATGTGTATTCATTTATGCAAATGAAAGAAAAAAGGTCAAGGCTTGCCAACACAGAGAGCTCTCTGATCCCTCATAAATGCTTTTTAGCTCATTATCTATTGTGATATCTCATCATATATTGTAATATATGATCAAAATTTACTTGATTTTGATAAATCTTATAGGACTAGAGTAACTGTGTCCCATGTGCATTGGTACTATGGAAAAACCTACAGAACTTAAAGTGTGAAAAAAAATGTAAACTTGTTGCAAGTCAGGATTTTTAGTGTTTTATTTTCTATTTTTTAAGATAAAACCACTTAATTTTTTTTTCTTAATTTTCTATTATTGCACCTATTTTGATGTGCAATTGTCATTATGCTGACATAATTACTCATGTAATCTTTTATTTCTGTTAGCTGAGTTACAGGGATAAGTTTCTTTGTTGCATGAAGACAACTGTTTCTGCGGTGACACAAGTGATGTACAGTCGTGTATGCTGACATCAGTAGTAGGCAGTGTTTGCCTGTTTCCTTTTTTTCTAAATGCATACAAATTAATCCATTTTATGTAGCTGATTAGTTATAGTGTCTTTTTTTAGGTTAAAAAATATATGAGTCTTACATTATTTTGTTGCCTGATAGTATACCTGTATTTTCTATGAATGTCAAGGGCTTCCTCGTGAATGACCGATGCTTAACTTTTAACTCAACTTTCAAATAACAAGTAGTCGCAACACCAGTCATTTGTAAAATTGTACGGCAATCTAAATGGTAAATTTAGCCAAAGTATGAATGCCATTGTGACTTTTTGCCCAGTGTTTTACACAGTATCTGTGAGATATTGTAGTGCAAAACCTGCATAGTTCTCTGCAGGAGTAACAGACACAGGTGTGTATTTGCAGAGGAGAAAGATGACAGATGTACATAAGGCTAAAGTACATCCCATCTTTGTGTGCTGTGTTTCCTGTTGAACAAACCAAAAAGTAAAGAATAAAGGCTACCTATCAATCACCAGGAGGACAACAATCCAGCATCCTGTCTGACTGGAAACCCCTTTATGACATTACTCAACTGGCCCGTTGACTGTTTTTATGAAAAATAAAAAAATGAAATAAAACAAACTTCACTTTGTTGTGTTTTTTTTCTCCCTTTTGTGTGATTAAAAAAACTTGTTTGGTGGGACTGGGAAAAATCAAATATGATTTATTCAAACAAATGGTGTCAAATATACACACTGAAATGCAAAATTTAAAAATATAAAACAATAAATTCTCCACACTTGTTTAAACCAATAAAAGGCTACAGAGGCTTGAGTTTATGAAGGCGCTCTGGAACAACCAGCTCACCAGAAATCATCATCTCCATCCTTGTGTGAATACGCTGCAACGCTGGGGAAACAATATTGAGTTAATTAGCAAAAGCCTCCAGGGACAGAAAAAAGCAAAAATAGTATATTTCTATTAATTTATCCTCAAGACAACATAATTCCAGTACAAATAACAACCTTAAAACCACCAGGAGATGAGAAACCACCGAAGAAATTAAATGTTTTTGGAAGAGGATTATGTGGGTTTATATATTTATTAAACTTTCCTACAGTAACAGCGCAGCTTTTGAATTAGAAAACTGACTTGTATTAAAAGCCATATGTGTAGTCAACTGTTTTTAGTTACCTGTTATCTTTCTCCTCAGACAAACTCTTGGCCTCTGGGCTCGTATGTCCCCCTTCTTCTCCTCCAGGGCTCTAAAAAAAAAGTACATTCAGTTTGACTCAACTTAAGCAAAGTCTAACAGGAGTCTCGGACAAATATGCGTGCAACTCACCTGAGTATTCTGCTTCTGTCTCGCCTCCAGGACCATCTTCATGTATCTCTCCAACGGATTTTCACCTTCAGCCTCCTCCCCATCTTTAACAGCCTCTTGCTTCTGCTCTTCATCAGCTCCTTTCTCACTTCCTGTTTCTTCTTCTTCCTCTTTTTCCTGTCCTGATTGCTCCATCTCTTGCGAAAGCTGGTTAGATATAGAAACTGTCAATATTCATTTCATCGGGGTGTCTTTTCTTGGTAGACATAAATAAGTAAAGATCAGAAGTAGGAGCTTTAGGAGAACTTGGTGCGAGTTTATCATTACCGTCTCTTTCTCAAGTCTCTCAAGTTCTCGCAGCTCCCTCTCTCGGGCTTCCTCTTGCTCCCTTTGCCTTTGTTCTAGTCTTTCCTTTCGCTCTCTTTCCCACCTCTGCTCCTTATCCTCTTCATCTTCTTCTTTGGCAGATTCAGAGGCTTGTGTGACTGCTATAAAACATACAGATTGAGTCAAATCAATTGTCAGTTATCACTTTAATTGGTTTAATGTTCCTCAAAATGGCCACACAATGAGCAGAACATGAGATTTCATACAGTCAGACTGATGGTGTACAGTAGAAGGTGGCCATTTTCGTCATTTGGGGTCAACCAAGATTATGTGCCAGTAATGGCGGGGGGGGGGGGACCAACGACTCACCCGCCTGGCCTAGCAAGTCTATCGGGTCTTCTGGGAGGTCCTGTGGGCGGGGGACAGCAGGGCCGTCAGGGGCCTCCTCAGAGAGAGGGACGGCAGTGTCCAGGAGAAGCTCTGGAATGTGGCCGGGCTCTGGAGGGAGACATGCACAAAGAGATCTTTTATGCTCCAACCATAATGCAAAAGAGCCAGAGGACCGGCACAGAATACATAATCAGCTGCCCTTCATCTTCACCATTGTGCGGGGCCACTGAAAGGACACTTTGGAGGCCAGTCACACACTCATTAAAAAAGCCATTCTCAAATCCAAAACCTCCACACCGGATATACTCCATTTTGTTCTTGGGATTTTGTTTAAATTAATGTTAATGAAACAGAAAAAAACCCATTACATACGTTAAAGGAATACTTCACCCACAAAACTGACCATCTGTATATCAATTAGTCGTGCTGGCTTAACTTAAATGTGTGAAGCAACTTTATTTTTCTCGCATTTTAGTGTAGTTTTAAATGGTAAGGTTTCAGCAAAAATGCATGTGTGTTGGGAGGCATACGACTGGACAAATGAGACTTGTATTATACTGCAAGACTTGTGTGTTTTTGTGTGAACAGATGTTTTTGTGTAGTTTTGCTGTTAACAAGGTCCCCAATCAATTAATAAATCAATATGTTCACCGTTTCTCATGAAAGGCATGCAAGAACCTTCTCCAAAAATTCAAGGTAACACAGCATGACTGATTAATAAATGGTAATTTGATGAATGGTCAATGGATGAAGTATTCCTACATGTGTGGCTGTGTATCCAATGATACAGATTTCAAGATTTTTATCCTTAGGCAAAACAGGAAAACCTCCATGTGTGCATATTATTAAGGAAATTGAAAATGGACACCCAGAGGATTTACCATCACTGCTCCATGTCTTCCAGACTGTAAAGAGTACGTTATGTGCCAACAGATGAAACATTCCCCATTGATTAAAATAATTATGCTCTTATGTGTCAAGCGCAATTGCAAGACTAAACATCGTTCCAGTATACACTATAAATCACCACACTCCTATGTTGTATTTGCAAAGTGAAGAAGATCTAAACTGAGTCTCACGTCTCTAGAGGAAGGCTGCAGTGTTGTCGTTGGACGAAAAGCCCATCAAACCTTTGAGCATATTACGATTCAAATGGTCTGCTTGGCTTGGTTTTAAGGCTTTAGAAAATCTAGCCTGTGACGGGAGACTTTGGCCAATCACAGGTCATTTTCAGACAGAGCAGCTGTCAGTCATGTCAGTTGCTGCTTGTGAATTGCGGCCAAACTGGGCAGC